GCCAAAAACATATTTTTTTAAGAAAAAATGTCTTCATATCTCGGAGACCAAGTTTTTCATTTTAAAACATCTGGACAACTTTTTTTCGAATTTCTAAACGTAGGTTTTACACTGTACACAAGGAAGTTGTGTACAGTCAGCAAAAATATTTAATTAATTTTACAGAATTCTTTTCGAAATGAATCTAGGAAGTATTAGTCGGCTAAAAATAATAAGTTTTCAGCGTGCTGATTTTCAGTGTAAAAATTGGAAAATAAAATTTAAAATTTTATTTTTCAATTTTTTAGTTGTAATCCTTTACTTGAATTCAACCCTTTAAGCCGTACCAACTCAAATCATCTTGACGCGTTCCAGCCCGCCAACTTTAAATTTGGCTAGATCTCACAGCCATTCCAACTAATCGGCTAGCTTGCTTTTTACAAACAGCGATGAAAACTTGATCTCTATGGTGGAAGTGTAGAGCAGCCGATTTCTTGCTCATTTTTCCAGGAACCACGTTGATGGAGTCCAAATTGACAAAAAATGACACTTTTTGGGATTCTGGAGGTGAAATATGAGGGTACATTTAAAGCGAGCAAAATGTGTTATATAATCTTTGCACCCAAAAGTACGTGCTTCGAGCAACATTGCAATAGTTTTCAACATTTTTGTGCTATTCGTTTCCATGCTGAAAAGGACGATGAATATTATATTCGGAGTCACGAAAAATGAAATCACTTTATCGGTAAGCAACAAAGAGCGCTTACTCAGGAAGATCGCTGCGACGGTGACAAGACTTTCTTTGTCCCTCGTGTCCTTTAACGAAAGGTAAAACGCAAATTTTCTCCGATTACTAAACGAACTATCTCCTAAAGACATACAAAAATTAAAAAAATATTTCTTTAAAACGCATTTGAATTTTGAAAGCTTAAAGTATAAGAATTGTTGTGTACCAGAAATCACATCAAACCTTAAGAGTCGAGTGACGCAATTTTATCTTGTAAAGCGTCAAGTACTAATTGTAGAGCCTCGTCGACCACAACATGTCATCTCCAGGTGCTTCACATTACCTTTCCGATAATCCTTTAAAGATTCCATTTTTTTATTTCCAAAAATACCCGGAACCTCTTACTGGAATTATTACCATAAAATACTCATTTTTAATCTCATTGCACTCTCGAATCTCTGTAGGTCTTTATTTTGATAAAACCGGGTCCAATTTCCCACAGGAGGCGAATTTAATTTCGGCCGGGTTTCTGTTTGACCAAGTCTCAGAATAATGGGACGCGCACTTTCTGGGACATTAATCACAGTTACAATAGCAACATTCTTGGGAAATTAATATTACAAGGTAAAAACAAATATTATAGTCTGGATTCACTTTGCGAGGCATACCCGGTCTTTGTGGGTCATTATGATATTACAACACGTTTTTTCTAAGGATCGAGCGAGGCTCAACTACAGCTGCGACGTTAAATTCAGAGCTGTTCAATTTTGTTCAAACTTTCAAATATTAGTTGCCTATGAACCCTTATTACGATTTCACAAAAAAATTTCGAAAAAGTTACTGTAGCTGGGCGTACTGTAGCGGAGGTCCATTTTCAGTATCTCGGAAAGTACGCACTGTAGAGACAAGCGGTCTTCACCATCATCTTTGTCGTGTTCCAAAACCTATTTTTGTAATTTTCATCCAGGTCCTAACTCATCGGAAAGCATATGAAATTTGCATCTCTTTGCCCTTAATTTTAATAATCATAACTTTTCTCAAAAAATTTGAATAAATTTCCAGTGATTTTATTTCATGTAAAGAAACTAGAAGTCTTCACGGTTCGAATGATACCAAAAACTCAAAAATCTGATTCGACACGGTTGCAAACTTGTCTACTGAAATTGACCACCCAAAATTTCCGATTTTTATTTATTCAAATTTCAAATTTTAATGAGCGTAATTTTTAAAATCAGATGAATACTGTTCACTCAAGGCTGAAAAACCGATTTTTACTAATTTTTTTGCATGTATTAGGTATAAAAAAAATTTTAATTTGAAAATTATTCATTTTAGTAATCGTAAGTTTTCTAAAAAAATTTGAATAAATTTCCAGTGGTTTTTTCCTGGATTCTGTGACTAGAAATCATTGCGGTTCGAATGAGTCTAAAAATGACAAAATCTAGTTCGACACGGTTGCAAACTTGTAGTTTGAAGTCGGCTGCACTTGGCTTAATAACCTGTGTATTAATTCAGGCATTCTGGGGTGTAGCATATATTGTGCAACTATAAAAAGCTTAACAAAGACTGCTTTCAATCGTTTCATGGCAATTGCGCGTCATTTGTGGATGTTTTGGGTCAGACGTTCAGAACAGGGTTGCACAAGATAAAACCGCTCTATTTCCTTTGCTAGCCATTTTCTAGCCAGAAAAAATTTTAATGCGGTGCGACAAACGTGAAAGCCTAGGAAACACATGCCTTTCTACTTTAGCCTACTCAAATTTTGCATTTCGATATTATACTTGTCATCTATCGACCGGAAAACCAAATAAGCGATTGCGCTTAAAATTGTGATGCTTTTGATCGCACTTTTTTTGAGCAGGATATTATCTTCGTAACAGCTGTTTTATATGATGCACCAAACAACGTATCTACAGCTCTATAAAATTTATTTATGGAATATAATAATTTTCAAATTAAAAAAATTTTTTATACCTAATACATGCAAAAAAATTAGTAAAAATCGGTTTTTCAGCCTTGAGTGAACAGTATTCATCTGATTTTAAAAATTACGCTCATTAAAATTTGAAATTTGAATAAATAAAAATCGGAAATTTTGGGTGGTCAATTTCAGTAGACAAGTTTGCAACCGTGTCGAATCAGATTTTTGAGTTTTTGGTATCATTCGAACCGTGAAGACTTCTAGTTTCTTTACATGAAATAAAATCACTGGAAATTTATTCAAATTTTTTGAGAAAAGTTATGATTATTAAAATTATTAATTTTCATATTTCAAAAAATTTTTTTAAAGCCTAATACATGCAAAAATGAGTAAAAATCAATTTTTCAGATCCAAATGAGCAGTAGGCTTCTGATTTTAACAATTAGGCTCGTTGAAACTTGAAATATAAAAAAAATAAAAATCCAAATTTTTGGGTCGTCAATTTCAGTCGAGACGTTTGCAACCGTGTCGAATCAGATTTTGGAGTTTTTGGTGTCATTCGAACCGTAAAGACTTCTAGTTTCCTTATATGAAATAAAATCACTGGAAATTTATTCAAATTTTTTGAGAAAAGTTATGATTATTAAAATTAAGGGCAAAGAGATGCAAATTTCATATGCTTTCCGATGAGTTAGGACCTGGATGAAAATTACAAAAATAGGTTTTGGAACACGACAAAGATGATGGTGAAGACCGCTTGTCTCTACGGTGCGTACTTTCCGAGATACTGAAAATGGACCTCCGCTACAGTACGCCCAGCTACAGTAACTTTTTCGAAATTTTTTTGTGAAATCGTAATAAGGGTTCATAGGCAACTAATATTTGAAAGTTTGAACAAAATTGAACAGCTCTGAATTTAACGTCGCAGCTATGCTCGACCCTTAGAAAAAACGTGTTTTAAAAGCTTATTAGAAAAAGGTAATTCAGATAAGGAAACGGCGGAAAATTGAGCGAAAACACGTCTTCAGAATTCTCGGGGTCGCCGGAGGACACCATCACGTAATTTTAGAGCGGCTCTAAACATCGTGGCTTAAATTTCAATTGAATTCGAGGAATTACAAAGTTCGTTGAAGAAACTTCTACGAACTTTTTAATTCCTTCAAGGGAAGTCATCAAATTTTCTTAAATTTGGCTTCAGTGCTCCAGAGAGCATACACATCAGTAACAAAATTTAATGACATGACCGAGATATTCAGCGATCTTTATTGACAAAAGGCTGTGGAAAACAGGCAGTAAAAATGTCTGGCCATCCTTCCCCATAAAATCGCCAAACTTGTGTTCCCCAGAAATTTTACTTTCAGTACATGAAGATCTTCCCAAATGCACCCGAAACATGCAACAAGAGTGACGGAAAACCCATTCAAAAGTAGAGTTATTACCCAGAAAGTTAGGCCTAAAAAAGAAAAGACTTGACACCAAAAACAAAGCCATAAATCTGATGAAAAATTTGCAATTTTCTACATTGCTCTTGGCCTCTTTGGCCACATCTGAGTAGTCACTTAACGGCGATTATCGAGACCTTTAATCAGCTGCCCAAAGAGCCTCAAGGGAAATGTAAAAAATTTGAAATGAGGAAGTTTTTTGAAACGGTTTCTTTTACATAAATAAGTGTAGGTGATGCTGTATATGGGAAAGGGACGTTCAAAAAATATTTGAAATAAACCCCTTAGGCAATTATCCAAAAAAAAAATTAAATGTGAAATATTAGGCATTACAATTCTTTCCATTTTGTGTATGAAAGAAACATTTCACAACTACAGATCCAAAAACTTTGATATGGACCGAAGATCAAAAGGGATTATAATTTTTTGATGGGAATTTAAAAATAATTTTATCCGAAGCTTTCATCTATCGATATCTGCAATGTTCTTTAGGAAGAATTTGTAGTCTAAAAGATATAAAAAGTGTAAAAATTCCACATTTTAATTTTTTAAAATTCCAAAAAAAACGCTTTGAAATAAATAAAGGCAAATTTGATGAAAATAGTCATAGAAAAGAAGTCCGGGACTTGAATGAAAGGAGGCTTAATTAATTTAAAAATATGAATCGAATTATCATATTACTGGAACACAAATGATAAAAATTTTATTCAAAAAAATATTTCGGATACTACTTGGGACATAGAGTCCGTAAGATTCCTTCGCCGGTGTCGAAATTTTGAGTTGCGGCGCGAAAAACGGGAAGCCTCAAAAAATCAGAGAAAAACGGACTGTGCAAATTGCATGGACTTTATGTCTCGAGAAGTATCCTGGCCCTTGATTAAAATTATATAAAAAATCTAGAATAAAGTATCCGAAAGGCTCCATATCCAATTTAAGAGTAAAAAGTAAGCACACTCTGTTGATTTCCACGCACAAACAGAGTCGGCGGCATGTCCTTGGTCATCAGTTCGAGCCAGGACAAGTACAGGGCTCCACTTTTGATGCCCTTCCTTGGAATTGGCATTGAGCTGAAAAGAAGTATTAGAAGTGGGTTCACATCCGGAGGAGTTAATGGGCCGCTCAGGAACCGCCCTTGTAATCGAGTAATGAGCTTTTTTGAAGTTTTAAATGGCTCAACAAAACGACAAAAAGTTACATTTCGATCAAATAGGGGTTATAACGCAATTTTAAAGGCCATAAAACTGCAATGAAATGTGATAAGATGCTTACACAACCACAAGATCAGCCTCAGATGAGTGCTCGCGAAGTAGCTCGGCCACTCTCAGCTGGCGGATAGTCCTTTCTTTCTGCAGCTCCAATTCGCTGTCATTTATCATCCCTTCGCCTTCCCCATAGAATGGTCGGATCGAATGCAAAAAGTTGCGGACTCTAAAAGCAATTTATAAATTACTTGTTACGGTAACCCAACAGATAAAAACACTAATTCTCTTACGTCTCCTGCGACGGCGGTCGCTCATGATCATTTATAATGGTCAAATTGGCCACATTAATTCTGAACTTGGCCAAAAGTTCGGCCATACTTTTCTGTTCCTGTTTGATGTCATGAGAGGTGGAGATGGAGAAGACACGGAGTTTAGCGTTTTCTAGATACGATTTGGGCTGCGTTAAAAGATATGGGATGAGAAGAGCAAGTCCACCGTCATCATAGAGCCACCAGACATCAATAACGCCCTTCTTGATCTTGTCCTTGAATCGGGCCAGAGAGAAGGCAACTTGTCGCTGTTTGGTGGTCATCCGGGAATGCCTAAAGAAAGGTATATTAAACTTCGAGCTTGCAGATAATTATAAAAATTTTCTCAATCCGGTGGAGAAAGGACTTTTTTTGCAGCATTTTCTTATTTTAAGCTTAAAAAAACGCCTACGGTCTTTTCTGCAGAGCATTGACATTCAGCGACAGCTCAAATTTATCGTAATCCAGGCAAGTCTCTTGATCTCCCATCTTCGGATATTTGGTCATACTCTCAGAGAACGGGTTGTACCCATCATCAGAAGTAGTGGTCGTATTAGCGGCATTCTTTCGATCGTCTTGGCTTCTGTTCTTCACAGCACCGATTTGACTCATCATTGTCTCGAAATCAAAGCCGAGTTCATCAGAGCGAAGGAGAAGGAGTCCCATTTGATTTTCAAAAGCTTCTCTAAAAATTACCATCAGTTTTAAAATGAAATGATGTAAAATATAATACAACGAATGTTTTCAGTTGAATAAAGCAAGGGTTGAGAGCGTTACATTTAGACTCAAATCTTACTGTATAATATTGTAGTACTCGTTCATTTCCTTCAATTTCTCTGGATTCTCGAGCCAATCCTGTTTGAAGCCCATGGCCAATATATTTGGTCTCAGTTTGCCGAGCCCAACTGTCTGCATCATATTTGCAGCTCCGTTCTTTAAACTCTTGTTTGCTGTGGCTGTATAAAACGCCTTAATATGGCGTTTCTTGAACCAGGCTCTGATTTCAATCGCAAATTTCTTATTCAGTTGAGTTACAATCTCACTCTTCTCACAGGGAACCACATAGCCGCAGGTCAAAAGACACGAATCTTTGGTGATATTACTGAAGAAATCGATCAAAGATGGCCGAGATGCGGGGTTTCCGGTGAGCAAAAGGATCTGCGGACGGTAGTTCTTGACGTGCTCGTCCGTTCTCTCCAATTTGGTGACACTTTGAAGGGCATTACGGTAGTTGTGGGCTTGCAAAGTGGAGCCCCAGTTCACTTCTAACAATCAAATAATATGTTTTGAACATTTTAGGACACCTACCAGGCTTCCGATGGTGCATGTACAAGAATAAAAGGGCGAAGAAGAAGAAGGTCAACAGAGCAGTAAACCAGTTCATGACAAACATCACTGATATGCAGAGGATGGCCCCAACCAAACTAACCCACTTATTGTAATACTTGAAGGCTGGCCGGAAACCCGGAGTCTTCGCCATAGAACAATCGAAACACGCGTAGTTAACGAGAGCATACGAGCAGAGGAAAAAGTTTGAAATAATTGGAGCAATCAGGTTTAAGTCACCTAAAAAATCATTATTTTTGAACATTTCTTACCAATCCCAATGATAAGACAGCAGATAATAAAAGTCAGAGCGTATGCCCTGCGGGGTTCTTCATCTTTTCCAAAGGTCTTGGCAAAATATTTGATGTATGGGAAGAGTTTATCGTTACAGACGGCCTGAAAGAATAAAAAATTACCTTATATTACTTTAGTCATCAAATAAACCAAGATTAATATATAATAATATAAAGTTCAGACCTGGAAAACCTTTGGAGCTCCGACCAAACTGGCCAAAGCCGAACTCAAGGAAGATGTCAAGATACCAGCAGTGATCAAGGGACCCCACAGACTGCCCATCTCAATGATCTGGAAGTAATTCATCAATCCGTAGGGACAAGTGCTATTCTGTGCACATTGGGGCTCAAAGTAAGCTGCCCATGGGCGCTTCGGAGCGAACAATCCATTCTCTTGAGCAAGCGTCTGATTGGCAACAGCTGTAAGTAAGACTGGAACGTGGACTCCGTCAGCATCTCGGACTACTGTAGCCCCAGTACAGAAGACAAGGAGCATGTAAATAACCGTGGTGAAAGCAATCGACAGCAGTGTTCCTCTGGGAATCGCTTTCTAAAATAGGGTTGAAATGCAAGGACATATGCAATACCTGTGGATTAGCCAAATCTCCAGAGATATTCGCGCCGGCCATGATGCCAGTAGCGGCCGGGAAATAAATCGAAAAAGTTTGGAAAAACCCATAACCATCGCGAAATACCGGCCAGAAATTGTCTTTGATGGTATCGACGCTATATCCAGTCAATCCTCGAAGTCGCAGGTCTTCGGAAGGCGGCAAGAAAGTGCCAATGAAGTAATCACCGATCGCCATGAATTGGACTCCCAACAGAACCACTTGCATTTTACTTTCGAATCCAGTTCCGATAAAGACAATTGTAATCAAAATCAGTGCGGCTACTGTAAATTATTTTTTTGTTTAATTTGAACGCTGTAGGACAGTTACTTACACAATCCCATCAATCTGACATCATTCAGACCCCCATCGATAAACTGAATTCCATATTCCTTGAGCAGATCTCTCATGGTCTCCGCAAAGCCCACAATGTACATTGCAGCACCCACGGCATTGGCCAACGAAAAGATGAGCCCGATGGAACCTCCAAACTCAGGACCAAGTGATCTGGATATCAGGAAATATGCTCCCCCGCCCTTGACATCTCCATTTGTACATATTGCGCATGTCGAAAGGGCAGTAATCGTGGTGACAACGGAGGCCAGAATAACTATTCCATTTCCCATTACAATCCCGGCTTGACCTGCGACCCAGGCCACACGGATGTAGAGAATAACGCCAAAAATACTCTGGATACAGCGGACAAGAACACCGATGATCCAGCCAAACTTTTGAGGGCCTTGACGGGGCTTTTGACCAGGAGCTAAAACAAGGTCGATAATTTTGCTTTGCATAGCCATAATTTATGGCTGCAACTTACGTGGAGTAGGGCCAGGTGGAGCGGCATATTTCCTGCCCTGAGGGCCTTTTAGCACCGAACTAACGAAATTCTCAGTCTTCGAGGCTTTTGATGTTGTTTCAGTGAAGTTCAAAGCATCATCCACTTGCTTTTGAGCGTTCTTCTAAAACATTTCTTGCCACTCCAAAACTAATCTCCCTTACTTCAAACTCATCCAACGCCTCAATCGTATCTCCAGCCATAAGTTGGGTCAGTGTGGGTCGGGTACTCCCAATGTCAATGGAATTACGATAATTCTCGACCACCGGCGGGCGATCCAATGAGTTTTGGTTGGCATTGATGAGAATGTGGTTATCCCAATAATTCGTAAATCTCCGGCCTTTTTGATGACTCGGAGGCTTCGGTTGATTGGGTTCATCATAAGGGGAAGTTGGCGGAGAAGGGTCCGTATTTCGGAGGTAAGAGGAGAGAGATGGGGACAACGAGAGCTGGAAAAGGGAGTAGGAATCCTACAGGATTTACAGAACCGGCCGCTGAGACTTTTTTAAATTGTTTTGCTCATAACTCGAGGATCATCACGACAAATAAATTTCCAAAGTCTGTATTGCCTTAGGTCTTCACGCAGACCGTAAATTACTGCTGCATTGATTAAATCAAAGCCGTCTTTAAGAAATAAAAATACTAACCGCCTGAGGCAATCTAAATCTACGAAACCTTTATGGCCTGAAAAAAGACACCCCACAATCATTTTCATAAAAATCTCTTTTAAAATAAACCACTATTTCTGGAGTTAAAAACAAAATTTGAGTCTCAATGACCGGCCCTGTAGAAGCCCTTTTACCTCAGTCGGCCCCCTTGGATCATCGCAGACATCAATTTGGATGTTATGAGTGCCACTGCTATCTTCAGGACTTGTTGAATTTACCTGAATCAATATCTGATAATTATAATCAAAAAAACTTATGCATTAGAGCTTTTTTAAAATCCTATCAACTCTATTAGAATCTCCCCAACTTACCGTAAACTTATCGCGAACCGCCTCACTCTCGTCATCGGAGTGGGCCATTCTTTTCGACGTGCTTTTTTCTCCTCCACCAGCTATTTATATGACCCGTCAAACCGAACATTTTGTTTCCTCGAAGCTTCGAGTTGAGCCCTCCAACAATAACAGAAACCCGCGCTAAACGCTGTGGGAGAGATTTGGAAATGGGTATTAGAAAGGCATGGTAATGCTCTTATCGCTGCGCAGACTGTAATGTAACCGTTGAAGTCACCTTTGAGCCTAGGGTTAAGGATTAGAGGGAAGGGCGAAGAACGGAGATCATCGATGGGAATTCTAGAGAAATCGGCCATTTATTGAAAATGTTAGGAAAATCGAGTTTCGAGGAAGTGGATTTCTGGTATCATACGGAGTAGAAACAGGCCATGAAAAATGCAACCTCAAATTAGTTTTGGCTGAATTATGAAAAGCATTTTTTATTTTTATCTCAGTGTAGCACCATAAGGACGAGAAGAAAATGTTAAAGTCACCATCGTATCTTATCGTAAATTGATAGAGCTGTTTCTGAGATTTTTTCAAATCTAAAAAATTTATGCATTTTTTATAGATTGCTGCCTAAAATAATTTTCGAAATTTAGCAAAAGTTGATTTATAAAACTACATGGTAATGGCTATCGTATCTTACCATGAAATTGCTTTACAAGTTCAATCTAGCTGTAAGACTTTATGCTTTCCAAAACTTGTCTTACTTCAGTCATCACTTTTTCAACACAATTTTAACTCTTATGCCCTTTTGTTTGCCCATCATAATACCGGTATTCTTTTGCCTACTACTGTATCATGCCTTCAATACAATACACGCGCTTCTCTTTTTTTCGTATATCCAATAATTTGTTTACATTTCTTTCAAATTCAAATCTCCCACTGTGATTTCTTTTTTGTAAAAAAAGAATTGAATAACGTTATCTGACAGTTTTTTCTACACGATTCCTTGCAACACCATCATCGAAAAGTTTACTCCCCTGCTCCACCTTACTTGCTGTCTGATAAATGGGATTTGTAATGAATAATATCAGCGTCTTAAGTGCAATTAACAAAGGATTGGATGCCTGTGGTCTGAAAATCTCAGAGATAACTCAATCAGGTACCCCAGTAAATAAACGGGTGCCCCTTTAAAACCACATTAAATATCATCATTACAACTACGATCAGTGGTAATAGTTTACTCTGCTGAGATCACATTATTCAGAACTTAAAATTATTGTGAGGACCCTATCCAATATTGTACATGAGCAAAGGCATTGGGAACAACCGTAAGAAAAGTCGATTTGATATGTCTAGGAGTAGAAAGTAAGGACGGATTGTTGGTTTCCTCTAACCAGTAGAGTGGGGGGAAGATCCCGGGTCATCATATCCAACCAGGAAAGATAGAGACAGCCCGAGGTTACACCTTTTCTGGGGATTGGCATGGATAATATAATTAAATCAGCTTCTTCAGAGTGCTCCCTCAGGAGCTCCGAGATTCTTAATTGTCTCATCGTTCGGTCCTTTTGATTTGCAAGTTCGGAATCAGTGATTAAAGGGGGTTTATCGCCTCGGAATGGCTCGATTTGATCGTTGAACTTTTGGATCCTAAAGTTAAAATAACAAAAATGGAAAAAGAACACATAGGCTTCAAAACCATTTCCCGGAGGTAAAACACGTCTTTAAATATATACTTACGTCTCTTTTCTCGGCTTTCTCCCGACATCCGGGAGTACTGTGATGTCAGAAAATTGAATTCTGAACTTGCTCAACAACGCGACCATGGCACGATGTTCAAGTTGAAGACCGGACGCAGAAGTCGAGATAGTAAAAAGCCTCAGGGTAGCATTTTCAAGATAAGACTTGGGCTGGGTCAATAGATACGGCACTAGCAATGATAACCCTCCATCATCGTAAAGCCACCAGACATCGATCACACCCTTTTTCACTTTCCTTTGGAACTTGTTAATCGAAAATAGAAGGTCTTTCTGAGCAGAAGTAAGCCGTCGCGAGCTGAAATCAACAACATTTTAGGAGAAATATCAATTTTTGGTAGGTGTAACATCAAAAGTGATCAAGTGTAATGTAAAGATTAGTGAGTTACAAGAACTATGAATTACTCAAGGGGAAATGACCTCAAACACAAGTCAGAACAGGACAAAAACCTATGTTATGAATGCTTTACATACGTTCTAAGAGTAAATAGATTTCCGTATTCGTTCTTGTTGGTCCTAGAATTGAAAAGATAGGGTTATTCTTGGAGATTACAATATAATTTATTAGAATTTGAGTAGCTTCTTACTTTCTTCTTCTCACACTCTTCTTTTTATCGTCAGGTTCAGTGATTTCGAAGTTGACTTTTCTTCCCTCTTCCAGTTTACTCAAATCAACAGTACTGACGTCAGTTGTCTTTTTCTCGGGATCTTCACTGCTCTCATCGTCTTCGTACTCCTCTTGTGATGAAATGTAGTCGTCATCTATGGGCGCTTGGCTTTCTCGGAAGGAGCCTACAAGAACATAAAAGTTACAGGGATCATTTCCATGCGCCCCACAACAATACTTTTTACCGCCAAAAAATATTGGCATTCTGCAGCAATAAAGTTGCATAAAATTGAACAAAATCCGATGTAAAACGTTTATACGATTTGCAAAGTTTCCAATTTTTTGTAAGTTTTTTTACTCCTTTCCCTTTCAAAATTTAGGTTTTATTCAACTTTACCTACTACAATGTTGGAGACATCCTCAAACTTACTGTTGTTGGAGCTCAATCCCTTCGAAGACCCTTCCCGGAGCCCCAGATTGACATGAGATGAATTGTTTCGATTATCTCCAAGTGGATTCACATTCACACTTCCCGTGGAGGAGTTGACTTGAGTTGAGAGAGCATTAGCTGCTGTTAAAGCCAAAGATTTATCGGAAATATTGGGTCGAATGGGTACACTGCTGAGATCAGGCAGCTTCAGTCTGTTGGTATCTCCAATGTTGTGAGTTCTCATCATTTCACTAAAGTCTAGACCTCCAGAATTCGCGCGAAGAATCATAATTCCCAGATTCGCATCAAATGCATCTCTAAAATAAGGTCGAAAATAAAAATTAGATAGTATAAAAGACGTACTGGATGATTCCGAAGTATTCTTGAAGTCCGGCGACACTAGAGGCCCCTCTTTCTAGCCAATCTTGCTTGAATCCCATAGCCAAAACGTTGGGACGAAGTCGACCCAGACCAGCAGATTGGATTAGAGATTGAACTCCAGCTCGAAGAGAGGTGTTGGCGATCGAAATGTAGAACGATTTGACGTGTCGCTTCTTGAGCCATGATCTGAGCTGGTCGTTGAGCTTTCGTAACATTGCAAACACTTGATCCGAAGGATTATACTAAAAAAGATCAACAGGGTTAATATAATATGCATAAAAATTGTGGATGATTTGGAGGTTAATTAGATTAAATTTTTTTTGCTTACAGGTACTACATATCCACATATCATCAGACTCGTGTCTTTTGTGATATTACTCACAAAATCGACCAAACTTGGGCGAGCTGCGGGATTTCCGGTCAATACCAATATCTGAGGTCGATAATTTTTGACGTGTTCATCGGTATTTTCTAATCTTGTTACTGCATGTAAGGCGTTTCGGTATGAGTGCGCTTGAGTTGAGGATCCCCAGTTTACATCTGTAGGAATTATATTGTACTAGATGGTCATGAAGAAAAGGGCAAAAAGTGAGTTTAAAATAAACGAACCTGGCTTTCGATGCGACAAATACATAAAGAGCAATGCGAAGAAGAAAAATGTCAGCAATGCCGTAAACCAAGATACGATAAACATGACCGTAACACACATAATCGCTCCCAACAGAGATACCCACATATTATAGTACTTGAAGGCTGGTCGGAAGCCCGGAGAGTGGGCAAAAGAATTATCAAAGCATGCGTAGTTGATTAAGGCATAGGAGCAGAGGAAAAAGTTGGATATAATTGGGGCTATCGCGTTCAAATCTCCCACCAAAACGATCAGCATTGCAAGAACAAAGGCCAAGAAATAAGCCCGTCTTGGCTCGTCGTCTTTGCCACTTCCTTGTCCAAAATATGTGATATAAGGGAAGAGTCCGTCCTTGCAAACAGCTTGGAACACCTTGGGGGCACTGACCAGCGACGCCAACGCCGAACTCAGCGAGGCGGCGAAGATGCCACAAGTGATCAAGGGACCCCAAAAAGAGCCCGTTTCCATGATTTGAAAGTAATTCTGAAGTCCATAAGGGCAGGTACTGTTGACAGCACAGCTTGGGAGGAGATATGAGGCCAATGGTTGTGGATTTGGAAGGCCATAAGAGCCGGATATTGTACTGGAATTTGAGGATGATATCAGATGTGGAAGATGGATTCCATCGGCATCCCGAACAGCCGTTGAGCCAGTAACGAGGATCAAAAAGAAGTAGATGACCGTAGTAAACGCGATGGCTATCAAAGTGCCTAAGGGAATCGCCTTCTGGGGGTCTGTGAGGTCGCCGGAAATGTTGGCACCGGCCATTATTCCAGTTGCTGCGGGAAAATAGATGGAGAAAACCGAGAAAAAATTGTGGCCATCGCGGAATTGAGGAAGCAGGTTCTCTTTCAAAGTGTAATCTGGAAATAAAATTATCAAAATCGGTATCAAAAAATAAAATTTTACATTATACATGATGATAATATAACTTTTGAAATATCTGACTTACAACTATATCCAGTGATCCCTCGAAGTTGTTGAGCATGTGTTGGTGGTAAAAATGATCCAACAAAATAGTTTACAATTGATAAGAGTAGTACCACAAGTAACCCCATTTGCATTTTGCTTTCAAAATCAGTTCCGATAAAAATAATTCCCATCAAGATGACACAGGTGACTAAAAACGAAATAATTGTGTCAGACACAACTTACTGAGGCCAACAACTCGGACATCGTTCATTTCCCCATCGATTATCATGACTCCATATTCTCGCATCAGATCTCGCACTGTCTCCGCAAATCCAACTATGTACATTGCGGCGCCGACAGCATTGGCCACAGAGAATATAAGGCCAATTGAACCGCCGAACTCAGGCCCCAATGATCTGGAGATCAAGAAATATGCCCCGCCCCCTTTTACTTCTCCATTTGTGCAAATTGCACAGGTGGAAAGAGCGGTTATGGTGGTTACGGTAGACGCGAGGAAGACAACCATCTCGCCTAAGGCTATTCCGGCTTGGCCACTCACCCAGGACACGCGAAGGTACAGGATGACACCAAAAATGTTGAGAACGCATCTGAAAATGAAGAAATTTATTCTTTGCACAGTGCATTTTGAATTCACGTTTGGCTTGCACCGTGCAGAACGGATTGAACCGCACAATGCATCGGCAAAACAGTAGTAACAATGCAAATCGCGATTCTTACCTGAAAAAGACGCCCTCGATCCATCCGAACTTCTTCCTGGGCGTGTTTACTTTGGGATTTATCTTAACCGGCGATGATTCAATCAACGGGATCACCAGATCTTTCTCCTCTACCGTTTTCTTTCTATTTTTCTTTTTCTCTTTTTCTTTGTCCTCTTCCAATAACTTGGCCTCACTCAAACATTCGTGAGAGAGATGTTGATCGACCAGATCCTCGTTTTGTTTTTGGAAATCCTTGACTTCATCCGCTTTTTCTCCATGAAGGAGCTCCAACATTGATGGGCGGTGGGCGCAGGGACCCGTTTCATCGGTCGAATTTCGATAAAAATCAAGTAATGGAGGGTGGTCGAGGGTTTTTTGATACCTGAAAAAATCGTCAAAACTTTACTTAAAAAAGCGAATTTTACATAAAATTCATTTCGGCATAACGTGGCTTAAAAGTTTCAGGAATTCCTTGCAAAATCCCAATCTCCAGTGCCCATAAATTCTGGCAAAATTTAACCCTAAAGTCATCACAGATACATACAAAAACTCGCTCCCAAAAACTGCTCAAAATTACCTCCAGCTTTTCAAATTAGCAGTAATAGTATTCTCGACGCCGCTTCCACTCCCAATCGTGATGTTTGGATCATCTTCCTCCTCTCCGACATCAAATTGAACCCCGCGAGGAACTGTCCCAGATGCCGTAATGGTGTCATCGTTGTTATTATTGTTGATAGGCTCGCTTTTTTCTTTAGGCAACGGCTGAAAATTGCAGATGGATGAGTTAAAAAAGATTTAGAACCAAACCTTACCTTTTTGATCTCTTTATTATTGTTGAGAATTGGTTCTGTGGGAAAATTTGGCGCCGACGCTTTCCTGAGGGCCTGCGGCAATGGCTGTTCATCTCGAGGACTCCCTGCGGACTGATCTGAATCCAAATTGGCGATATTACTGGATGAGGGGGTCACCTGAAGGAAGGGCAACATAAATGGATGTACAGCTATGAAATGAGACTTTGGATTGTCTGAAAGTCTTTCATACTAAGTGCATACGTATAACCTATTAAATTGGCGTATTTGCCTTTTTATGGGCAGAAAGGAAGTTCCCAAAATTCAGTTCTGAGATCTCAATTTCAGAAAACTTTCGTCGCAAACGAAAGTAAAAAAAAAATAAAAAAATTACTTATTACAAAAATTTAACCCAAAATTTTCCCTTCTACATCACAATTCCCCGGAATAATCCTACATAAAACCTGTTGCTGAGCTTCCTCGTGCGTCCATCGCCGTTCTCAGGTACCGTAAGCCCATTCCCATTCATTTTCCCACGGTCCAAACTACGAATATTCAAAGAATGATCCGAAAAACCTGCTCGAAGAGGTCGGAGTCAAGTGTTAAAATCTCGAAAACAGTGGTGACGTCACGGCTTTTGAACTCGGAACTGGCCAAACGCAGATTCATATCGAATATAAAGCAATATTTAAATGAATTGGGCGTCAGAAAGTAAGGAATTTCAATTAAATTTCGAAAGGAACGCCATTTTTATGAAATGAACTGTCTAACAGTGACAATAAAAAAGTAAAAGAAAACACCTCAGGGCATAAGGACGAAAGAATTTTATGATTTTACGCAAATTTTAAAATGGAAATGTTGTTCACAAATCACAAAAAATGGGTCTAAAGTTACATAAGACCTAAAGTAATAGAAGAAATGCCAAAAAAAGTTAATTTCATCGTCAAATGTACACTTACAGACGTAACTGAGTAAATATAAAAGTGGAGGAGTGACGTATTATTGAGGAGACTTGTCGAGAATGAGTTTGAAGATATCATTTTATGGAGTTGATGCTATAAATTATGATAAATCGCCACAAAAATGAAACATGAGGCTCCAGATGGATTTGAGGGATAACATGCAGAAATTTAAAGGTTGTGGGGACATAAAATACAACTTTTTAACGTCCAAATACAGTTGAATATTTGTATTAAGGAACAGAGTGTGTGGAGAATTAGGAGAGAAGGTTAGAGAAAAAACATTTTTTAAAACCGTGTCTACATGAAGACAGAGCTCATGAACGGCTTGCAAATTCTTCACAGCTGTTACTGCAAAAATAAAAAAAAACGTTACAGTTTCGTATAACAAATCCTTCTATTACGAGGAAAAATCTCTAAAATTTAAGTAGCTCATTGCTACACAAGGGCAAGGCAATTTTCCGACAACTTTAAGGAGTGCTAAAAATGCAGCCTACATCCAGAAAATCGTGAAATTAAAGGGGAATGACCTCTTCTTGTCACCGAAAAGATATCTCAAATCCCGCCCCTTCCGGCGATCTTTTTGCTCCCATTGTAAAAAGAGTGCAAGAAAGTTCTTTCCAGGAAGATATAAAGTAATTTCATGCCTGACATTTATTGTAAAATACGAGTACATATCTTAAAAGTTCCTTAAAATCCCTAATTCAAATCAAAAATGCCATCGATATCATCGAAAGTACAAACAAAATCCATTCAAAATTATATGTCTCCATAAGGTTGCCATCAGAATACGAAAGACGTCCCAATTCCTCCAAATAAATGTAAGATTGTGTATGTAATATTCACCAGATCCCCTCTCTTTTTCACCCATTAAAAAGCGGGTTAGCCCTCATCGCTAATATCCGGCAGAAATGAATCAGAATAAACGATTCTGAAAGGCCAAATTTGGGGGAAATCCATGAAAAACCTGAGGAAATAAGGATAATATAAGGTTGCAGAAAAGGAAATAATAATTCTCCGAAAAATGCCATTTTCGCGGCGATTTCTTAGGATCTGTAATGTAAACATAAATCAAAATGTCAGAAATTTAATTTAACATCAGTAAAGAGCGGTGTTTGCCAGATGACAGTACTATTTATTTCTGCAAAAAAAAAAAGAAAAAAGTGTCATCAAAACCTCGAAAAATCTCATTTTTTTGTCAAAAAAGTTAGAATCTGCAATGTATAAATGTATCAAAATATCAGATATTTAATTTACTTCAGCGAAGAGTGGGATTTTTGTCAATTATAATACTGTTTTCGCACCTACGAGCCAAAAATTCGGGAAAAAAGAGCAAAAACCCGCAAAAAATCCATTCCCTCTAAAAATCATGTCATTTCTGACGAACCGGTAATAAATAAACCCAAACCCCTTAGGCCGCACATTTGTGGAGGCAATCAGGCAGTGTAATCCAATCTCATCAACATTTTTTTGAATAGAAACGAAAGAATGGCAACAAAAAAGTAATTCAATAGTCAGAATTTAATCTGACGCTTAATTTTGGATCGGGAATTTTAATTATGCCGCGGCAAAGAGGCCCAGTCAAGGCGGGAAAAGGGAGATAAAGTTGTAGGAGGATTATTATTAATCTGGCTTAACAGTTATCTTGAGAATCGAGGGAATTAGGAGGCTGGAAGAGCTCAATGAGCCGCAAGAATCAACACCGGAAGAGCTCCTGCTATTTTTTGCTGGATTTTTGCTGACAGAACTTTTAGGAAAAAGATACTTCGATGCAAAAATCAAAAATAAATACATAATTGATGATAAAGTCGACAAATTTTGAGATTTAGGGCATAGGACCAGAAATGGTGAAAATTTGGAAAAAACTGTTAGGCCACCATTTTCTTTGGTTAAAAATCTTGTTTGAAAATTTTGTACCACAAGAAGTGGCATCAATTTTGCGAAATTTGCCAGAAATGAGTACAAAAAAAGAGAAGTAGAACGTTGAGCCGAGAGTCCGTCATCTCTTGTTTGCAAAGATGGCCAAATATCTCGCCTGTGGCCACAAAGCGCGAACTAAGAATTTCGGAGATCAGTTTGTGACCATCAAGGACAGTTCGTATCCGTATACGTAAAATGTTTTCAATATGTTGGTTATATTAAGCCAAGGTCAGCGAAAAGTTCACTTTATCACGGTTTACTGTAGTTTCCTTACCTTGAAACGCGAGGTATGAGTGAATGCCGAATTTCTTCGGACCACGCCATTCACTGTGGGTGGTAGACTGGGCTTGAACTGTGGCTCCTCGGACCGGCTGGCTGTGCGAACACGGTCCACCAACAACGTCTCTGGAGGGGCTTTGTTCTCCGCCATTCTGATTCTAAACTTGAATATTGAATTTTTGCGACATTTTGTGTTTCGTATTTAGCACGTATTTACGAGTTCCAGCAAAGCTAATTCAAAATTACTGGTAAACAATCTTGAAAACGAAAAATTCCTGTTTTCGGGATATTTCTAATTTCCCACAGTTGAATAGCAAATAGCTATATTGCTTGCGTTAATTCGATTACATATGAACCATATTTGGAGAACATGAATTCTACGCTCCCATGGGTCATATTCTACTCAGTAAAGGGCTCAACAATTCCTTTAGGGATATCCGTAAACAAAAAAAAGGACAATGGGCGGATAATTGAGCTCATCCAAATTTTTTAAAGTCAAAATGATCGCGGAGGAAGAGGGCTAAAAGTGCATGGATAAACAAATTGCGCGAGGGTTTGGTAAATAAAGCAGTAAATGAAAAGATGCCACACTAAAATATTATGACATTTCACTATTTAAAAAAAGGATAATAATAAGAGATTGAGTGGACCGAAAACGAAGTTTATCGGATGGGCCATTCAGCTCCTCTCAACACTTTAAATCGATTTTTAAACCATGTTACAAGTTTGCTTGTTTAGTTCTCCATTGTCAGTGGTGTCCAATCCCTAACTAAACGTCAGTCCAACTATAAAACCTCGAACACCCTCTCCGAACAGCCACATGTTGGCCAACACCCAAGTATAATATCATCTCCAAAGTATTCGATTTCACTCTCTCTCTCGTTTCCAAAGGGCACTCTAATACAAATAACAACCTCCTGAAACAGTTGACTATTAATGACCAGCACTTTGTTTACTCAAAGCGAATTGAAATAGTAAGTTAAAACCGTTCCCTCGATATAAATACTATTACTTTCCTAATCTTCCCGATAAAAATTCGGGTCGGCGAAGGAGAAGCGAAACATTGTGGGTGTTGGTTTTTGTACTACTTAGGGAGATTACCAGTATTTATGGGTTGCGCGTAGAAGAAATTTAAAAAAAATGAAGAACATCTGGGAAGAAGATCATTAGTAATGCGTCTGAACAATCAGTTTAGCAAAAGGTGGGAAAAAATGTGACGCATCAATTCTTAGAGATGGTTAACAGCTATCAAATCCACATTGTTGTACGAACCGGAAGAAAAAAATAATTTTTATCACAACCTAGGAGATGCATGCCAGGGCAAATTGCAAAACTGTCACGGGAAAAATCTCTCATATGAGTTCAAGTCTACATGCCTGGGAGATCACCTTACCCTTCACAAAGACCCTCCAAACTCCTGATTTTCACACCTCCAAAACCCGTTAAAAACCTACCAAAAGACAGCTCAAAGTACCCTTATCGTTAGCCGGTTGGCAAAACAAGTACGATTCCATTGTTTTAACCGCCAAAACAAAAAAATTTTCCGGGTTTAATTGGCCGTAAAAAGGCTTTTCTGGCCGCGAATTCCGGCTCTCGGTTTCAAAATCTCCAAACACGGCATGGGACGAGTCAAAAAGCCAAACTCTCTCAATTTCCCCAAAAGCCTTTCGGGCTTTTTGCATTGGTCATTTCGAGGGAAAATTCGGAAAACAAGAAATAACAGTTCCTGAAAGGGTAATAAATGTCATCGTGAAGAAATTCGGAGAAAATTAAAATTCGTGAGTCATAAATAGGGGATAAACAACCCGAAATGTCATCTTGACGTTGCCAGACGTGCGAAAACCTATTTTGGGGCACAAAATAATGCCATTCTTGGAGTATTTTGCCAAATAATTCCCAAGGGCTTTATGAATCATACGAAAAAAGTGATGAAATGAAGAAAATATTATGTAAGGCTGCTTAATTTTGATGCAAAAGTTTGTTACACTGAAAACTATTGCCATGGCAATAAAATGATATTGTTTTGAGCAATGTAGATCTTGGACCCCTGGTTTCATGCGAACCAAGGGCAAGTTTGAACACTTGGCCACATGGTATGGACCTGAGATAGTTCAAAAGCTAAGGATATGTAATGATATGAAATCTGGACTAGCAGAAAGGCTTTTAGAAACTGGTTGTAAACGATAGATAATGAATAAGAAACTGTTTTATCGCTAACCTGTGGGACGGAGAAAGGAAAAGACTTGCAATTAAAATGGACGATTTTGCAAAGAAATATTAAAATAGTCCTTGATTCGTCACTTGGTAAGTCAATCTTTAGCCAATGCAGAAAAAAATCTTACAAGGGCCTAATAGTAGTAATTGAAATTTTGAGCGTACAAAGTAAATTTTTTCTAAAACAGTTTGAATTGGAATTGACATAGCCACAGACAAGTCTCAGACTCCTAAGGAAGCCCACAGAAATCTTTTACCATGACATTATCTTCTATCCCGCCTTCCAACACGCCAAGGTGCCGTAAATTGTGGACGGCATTTGTGGATAAACACAAATCCTGAATATCACATTACAACCGCCCGAAATACACCATTCTGCAGAAAATAGAACAACACGCCCTCGGGGCATTTCGTTTAGAGCATTAAGAAAATTAGAACGTTGCCCCTTGAGGCACAGAAAGGACTTATCTCGTTGATTATCTCAAGGGAAAAATTGGAAAAAGCGCAGAAATAAAGAATCCTGCAAAAATGAGCGATCAAAAATCTGAATAAACTGCAAAATACTGAAGATCAGAGAGCTCTTTGCCTCAGGGCAAGATCATTTTAAATTCGAATATCTGATCTGAGGTTCTTCGAGACGAGCAGCTGGTGTTTTAAATGAAAACGAACGGCTCGGTCCAAGGAAATATAAAGCAATAAGGGCCGTAATGAGAGGGACCTCCAATTCGAGGCGTCTTAATTCAAAAAAGAAAATTTAAATTGCCTTCCTAAAGAGATTTATGCACTGAAATCTAAGATGGCACTGCGAGAGAGCAATGATCTCTCATAGTATATTGCATAACTGATGGACCCTGTAATCTAAAGGACATCACGGCATATGTTGTTTATAGGAACGGATTTCATGCGTACTTGAACGCCCAGAGAAAGAAGTATGATTGCATGTCACACGGTTTGAAGGAAATGTATGGGGAAACAAAATAATTTTGAAGGCATAAGCAAAAATTGTTGTAATTTCGTAAAGAAAATGGACTTTATACTTGTACTATACATAAGACCATAAAATAGGCGAAACTAGGTGTCTCGTCTTGACGTGAAATCACAAATACCATTGTAATTATGTTTCCAAAAATTTTTTTCCAAGTCGAAAGAGATGAGTTAAATTTGCATCAGTTTTATAACTCTAACATGTTTGCTTCAAGTTTTAATAACATTGTAGTTTCAAAGGTTTCTTTTCTGTTGATTCTAATCATATGTATTTTCAAGCCTTTTTACATTAACATACTTTACATTGCCGTAGTTTATTACTACATGTTTTATTTGCTGATTTGACCACAAGCTGGGTTCTGCATTGCCATTACAAGCAGTACGCCTCCGCATCCCCATCTGACTCCCTTTTAGTGTTCGCAAACTTTACTCGCAGTTGTGCAAACCTTGCAGCCAGAGGAGACTTAAAAAGCGCTTCGATCCGAGACTGGACTGTCCACTTTAGAGACTTGTTTCCCGTCTATTTTTAGAAGCTTTAGTTATGCTCATACTTTACTTACTGTACGCTTACTTATTACTAAATGATCGATCATTGGCTGATCCTTTAATTAATGCCGGAACCTTATCATTGCCTTTGGCATTATCAGCGGCTGCCAAAAATAATGAAGAGAAGTTGTTGAGGATGGCGACAAGGGTGACTGGGAGTTCAAGCAACCCACTTAAAGTTAATTCGAAGCCAGTTTCAACGCCAGGGCAGAGTATTAGCTATGTCACAACGTCGAAAGTTTTCAGTACTGGCAGCTACAAACCTACCGATGCAGCTTCTTGGATGGCCACTCGATTTTCCCAGAACCCAAAGCACACGTCATCTCCTGCCTTCAAGTTTTTGTCGACAAGATATACGATAAATACTAGACCAACGACAAAATTTATGATGAATGAACCACACAAAGATGACGTCATTGTAAGTACTCCAAAAATACCGCTCAAAAATAATCTGGTGACCAAGAAAACGATGATTACTACAACTGCTCTACCAACAACTCTGACCACTCATTATGAAAGCCGACGCAGATGTCAGAGTAAAGATGGAGGAGCCTTTTATCCAAGCGCAACAACTTGTAAAAACGAAAGAAGCGATCGGGTTTGCTCTTACATATTCCACGCACCTGATCCAGTCACCGGAAAGAGAGATCCAAAGTGTAGTTTAGAAGGTAAGAAGTTGATTATGAGTTAATTTAAAGCTTTAAAGGTGCCCTTATGTTACACTTATTATTAACTTTATCTTAGGTATGGAAGACATTGCCAATTCCTGCCGAAAACAATGTGCAATTTGCTGCGAACATATTGACTATGCTTGCGAAGATGACCACAGTAAGTCTTAAACTTTCTCGTAGCAGAATTATGATTTTTCAGACGATATAATCGCCTGTTCTAAACAGCTTGACAAGTGCCATATGTCCAAATGGTTTGATGTCTTATCCAAGTTTTGTGCTGGAAGCTGTGGACTCTGCACAAAGACGGAATGTAGAGATTACAATGCGGACTGTAGAGAGAGGAAAGACGAATGTTTGGCATCGGATAAAATTGATGAAATGAGGGACAAATGTGCCAGAACTTGTGGATTTTGTGTTGTCGGAGGAGGAACGGGAGGTGATTGTAAGTTATTTCTTTATAAAAACTAAAGTCAATAAAAATGAGTGAACAAAAAGGCCCAAAGCATGGTGTGTATATTGAACCTCAATCTGAAAACACATATTCGTGAAAGGAAAATATTTATTTTCGCGGTGTTCTAATTGAGAACCTATTACAAGTATCACATTCCCAAATTCTCAATTGCAGTGCCATTCAACAAGCCAGCCGTCCCGCAATGCATCGACAGAGCTCCCAATTGCACCAATAATGAGCATCTCTGCGCCTCCCCGTTACACGCAGAGTTTATGATCAACTTCTGTGCTAAGACTTGTTTCAAATGCACAATCAACCCGAATGTCATTGTTCCGGTAATTGGAACTCCTCACGACGTTAATGGAACGGCTGCTGTTCTTATGCCGGCTTCAGTAATCATCAACGCCGCAGCTCACAACAGCAAAATCTGTGAGGACCGGCATCCAAAATGTGCAATTTGGGTGTCGAAAGGGTTCTGTGTGCATGAAAAGTACACTGTGGAACAGAGGAGAGCGCTCTGTCCGAAGAGTTGTAAACTCTGTTGAAAGAATTTTAGTAATTTTATTTTTCAAAGCTGCCAGTCTGAATGTCTATATACATATTGTTTTCTACGCACACATATTGTTTTTTATTTGTATAAATTTGGAATACAGTAAAAATAAAAAACATTTTGACCGATTTTATTGAAAAAAAATTTATTTGCATTGTTCAAAAAAGCAAAGAAGAAGCAAATTCACCTAGGAGAAGTAATAAACGAGATATTAGCGACGAACAATAATAAAAATTAGCTTATTGTAACAATCAATTGAGAAATTTGTCGACTTCTTTGGCTCTTCCATTTTTGGATTCTTGCTTGGTGTAAATAGATTCTGTCGAAAAACGGCCACTGTTTTCTTCCGAGAGCTTTCGTTTTCTTGAAATAGCGTTATCTGTGATCCGACGAACTTTGATTTGGCCGTAAAGTTTCGCCTTTTTTGGAGCCAAATAACGCCCGTACCAAGCCGAACACTCTGATATTACACTAGGCACTAATAAAAAATAAAGTGAATTAGAGATGTCGGAGTGAACTGACGTGACCTGTACCATTCGAAACAGTACAGAATGAAATTTCAAAACCCCAAGTTTCACCTTTTTTGGAGCCAAATTACGCCCGTACCAAGCCGAACACTCTGATATTACACTAGGCAATAATAAAAAATAAAGTGAATTAGAGATGTCGGAGTGAACTGACGTGACCTGTACCATTCGAAACATTACAGAATGAAATTTCAAAACCCCAAGTTTCACCTTTTTTGGAGCCAAATTACGCCCGTACCATGCCGAACACTCTGATATTACACTAGGCACTAATAAAAAATAAAGTGAATTAGAGATGTCGGAGTGAACTGACGTGACCTACACCATTCGAAACATTACAGAATGAAATTTTAAAACCCCAAGTTTCACCATTTTTGGAGCCAAATTACGCCCGTACCATGCCGAACACTCTGATATTACACTAGGCACTAATAAAAAATAAAGTGAATTAGAGATGTCGGAGTGAACTGACGTGACCTGTACCATTCGAAACAGTACAGAATGAAATTTCAAAACCCCAAGTTTCACCTTTTTTGGAGCCAAATTACGCCCGTACCAAGCCGAACACTCTGATATTACACTAGGCAATAATAAAAAATAAAGTGAATTAGAGATGTCGGAGTGAACTGACGTGACCTGTACCATTCGAAACATTACAGAATGAAATTTCAAAACCCCAAGTTTCACCTTTTTTGGAGCCAAATTACGCCCGTACCATGCCGAACACTCTGATATTACACTAGGCACTAATAAAAAATAAAGTGAATTAGAGATGTCGGAGTGAACTGACGTGACCTACACCATTCGAAACATTACAGAATGAAATTTTAAAACCCCAAGTTTCACCATTTTTGGAGCCAAATTACGCCCGTACCATGCCGAACACTCTGATATTACACTAGGCACTAATAAAAAATAAAGTGAATTAGAGATGTCGGAGTGAACTAATGTGACCTATACCATTCGAAACATTACAGAATGAAATTTTAAAACCCCAAGTTTCACCATTTTTGGAGCCAAATTACGCCCGTACCATGCCGAACACTCTGATATTACACTAGGCACTAATAAAAAATAAAGTGAATTAGAGATGTCGGAGTGAATTGACGTGACCCACACCATTCGAAACATTACAGAATGAAATTTTAAAACCCCAAGTTTCACCATTTTTGGAGCCAAATTACGCCCGTACCAAGCCGGACACTCTGATATTACACTAGGCACTAATAAAAAATAAAGTGAATTAGAGATGTCGGAGTGAACTGACGTGACCTGTACCATTCGAAACATTACAGAATGAAATTTCAAAACCCCAAGTTTCACCTTTTTTGGAGCCAAATTACGCCCGTACCATGCCGAACACTCTGATATTACACTAGGCACTAATAAAAAATAAAGTGAATTAGAGATGTCGGAGTGAACTGACGTGACCTACACCATTCGAAACATTACAGAATGAAATTTTAAAACCCCAAGTTTCACCATTTTTGGAGCCAAATTACGCCCGTACCATGCCGAACACTCTGATATTACACTAGGCACTAATAAAAAATAAAGTGAATTAGAGATGTCGGAGTGAACTAATGTGACCTATACCATTCGAAACATTACAGAATGAAATTTTAAAACCCCAAGTTTCACCATTTTTGGAGCCAAATTACGCCCGTACCATGCCGAACACTCTGATATTACACTAGGCACTAATAAAAAATAAAGTGAATTAGAGATGTCGGAGTGAACTGACGTGACCCACACCATTCGAAACATTACAGAATGAAATTTTAAAACCCCAAGTTTCACCATTTTTGGAGCCAAATTACGCCCGTACCAAGCCGGACACTCTGATATTACACTAGGCACTAATAAAAAATAAAGTGAATTAGAGATGTCGGAGTGAACTGACGTGACCTACACCATTTGAAACACTACAGAATGAAATTTCAAAACCCCAAGTTTTACCATTTTTGGAGCCAAATTACGCCCGTACCAAGCCGGACACTCTGATATTACACTAGGCACCAATAAAAAATAAAGTGAATTAGAGATGTCGGAGTGAACTGACGTGACCTATACCATTCGAAACATTACAGAATGAAATTTTAAAACCCCAAGTTTCACCATTTTTGGAGCCAAATTACGCCCGTACCAAGCCGGACACTCTGATATTACACTAGGCACCAATAAAAAATAAAGTGAATTAGAGATGTCGGAGTGAACCGACGTGACCTGTACCATTCGAAACATTACAGAATGAAATTTCAAAACCCCAAGTTTCACCATTTTTGGAGCCAAATTACGTCCGTACCAAGCCGAACACTCTGATATTACACTAGGCACTAATAAAAAATAAAGTGAATTAGAGATGTCGGAGTGAACTGACGTGACCTGTACCATTCGAAACATTACAGAATGAAATTTCAAAACCCCAAGTTTCACCTTTTTTGGAGCCAAATTACGTCCGTACCAAGCCGAACACTCTGATATTACACTAGGCAATAATAAAAAATAAAGTGAATTAGAGATGTCGGAGTGAACTGACGTGACCTGTACCATTCGAAACATTACAGAATGAAATTTCAAAACCCCAAGTTTCACCTTTTTTGGAGCCAAATTACGCCCGTACCATGCCGAACACTCTGATATTACACTAGGCACTAATAAAAAATAAAGTGAATTAGAGATGTCGGAGTGAACTGACGTGACCCACACCATTCGAAACATTACAGAATGAAATTTTAAAACCCCAAGTTTCACCATTTTTGGAGCCAAATTACGCCCGTACCAAGCCGAACACTCTGATATTACACTAGGCACTAATAAAAAATAAAGTGAATTAGAGATGTCGGAGTGAACTGACGTGACCTACACCATTCGAAACATTACAGAATGAAATTTCAAAACCCCAAGTTTCACCACTTTCGGAGCCAAATTGCGCCCGTACCATGCCGAACACTCTGATATTACACTAGGCACTAATAAAAAATAAAGTGAATTAGAGATGTCGGAGTGAACTAATGTGACCTATACCATTCGAAACATTACAGAATGAAATTTTAAAACCCCAAGTTTCACCATTTTTGGAGCCAAATTACGCCCGTACCATGCCGAACACTCTGATATTACACTAGGCACTAATAAAAAATAAAGTGAATTAGAGATGTCGGAGTGAACTGACGTGACCCACACCATTCGAAACATTACAGAATGAAACTTTAAAACCCCAAGTTTCACCATTTTTGGAGCCAAATTACGCCCGTACCAAGCCGGACACTCTGATATTACACTAGGCACTAATAAAAAATAAAGTGAATTAGAGATGTCGGAGTGAACTGACGTGACCTACACCATTTGAAACACTACAGAATGAAATTTCAAAACCCCAAGTTTCACCATTTTTGGAGCCAAATTACGCCCGTACCAAGCCGGACACTCTGATATTACACTAGGCACCAATAAAAAATAAAGTGAATTAGAGATGTCGGAGTGAACCGACGTGACCTGTACCATTCGAAACATTACAGAATGAAATTTCAAAACCCCAAGTTTCACCATTTTTGGAGCCAAATTACGTCCGTACCAAGCCGAACACTCTGATATTACACTAGGCACTAATAAAAAATAAAGTGAATTAGAGATGTCGGAGTGAACTGACGTGACCTACACCATTTGAAACACTACAGAATGAAATTTCAAAACCCCAAGTTTCACCATTTTTGGAGCCAAATTACGTCCGTACCAAGCCGAACACTCTAATATTACACTAGGCACTAATAAAAAATAAAGTGAATTAGAGATGTCGGAGTGAACTGACGTGACCTACACCATTTGAAACACTACAGAATGAAATTTCAAAACCCCAAGTTTCACCATTTTTGGAGCCAAATTACGCCCGTACCATGCCGAACACTCTGATATTACACTAGGCACTAATAAAAAATAAAGTGAATTAGAGATGTCGGAGTGAACTGACGTGACCTACACCATTTGAAACACTACAGAATGAAATTTCAAAACCCCAAGTTTCACCATTTTTGGAGCCAAATTACGTCCGTACCAAGCCGAACACTCTAATATTACACTAGGCACTAATAAAAAATAAAGTGAATTAGAGATGTCAGAGTGAACTGACGTGACCTACACCATTCGAAACATTACAGAATGAAATTTCAAAACCCCAAGTTTCACCATTTTTGGAGCCAAATTACGCCCGTACCAAGCCGAACACTCTGATATTACACTAGGCACTAATAAAAAATAAAGTGAATTAGAGATGTCGGAGTGAACTGACGTGACCCACACCATTCGAAACATTACAGAATGAAATTTCAAAACCCCAAGTTTCACCATTTTTGGAGCCAAATTACGCCCGTACCAAGCCGAACACTCTGATATTACACTAGGCACTAATAAAAAATAAAGTGAATTAGAGATGTCGGAGTGAACTGACGTGACCTACACCATTCGAAAC